TGCCTTAAGCCTCTGACCTTGACCTTCATTTCAAGAGAGGCCGACCTCATCTAAAATTCCTTGCAATTTTTCCCTTATCGAGGAACAACGAGAAACGTTTTGCCTATGGAGCAAGTATAGGATTCTACCAGAGTCTGTTGCCAGAGAAAATATTGCTCGCAATCATACACCAGAGGTGTATGATTGCAAGCAATCATACACCTCTGGTGTATGATTGCTTTATTATTGCAAGATTGCAAGAAAATTAATTATAATGGAATTAAACAGCTTCTTCAATGCTTTATGAGAGGGTCTCATAAGGAAGTCCAGAGCGATAAAACCATGAGAAACAGCGATGAAGATCATGAACGAGGGGGAGGGAGGGGTGTGCAAGTGAACTGTGTTGACGCGCCTTTAATTGCTGCTTTTCTGCAATATATCAAAATGCAAATAGTAAATACTTGATTTTTCACAACTGGTGATTGCCGCAAACATAAGAAATCAAAATTAAATGTAGGTAGATCACATGCAAGAATTGACTACTCGTGAAGATGGTATGAAGCCTAGTTTCGCTCGTGAGACTTTCATCGCAGAGGCCTTCCATTCCTGAGAGATGCAATCGAAGAGAGGGTGAAGGGGTGGGAATAGTGGGGGGTGGGGCTTCCACCAATCAGTTGCAGGGATGACGACGACGAATCGTCAGTCGATTAGACCTCACGACTGCGTCAGCATGGCTTGTGCGGCAGTTCCACTATCCGTTGTGCGAGACCCGTTACGATTGCCTGTTCTCCTGGCATCCAAGAATTCAAATTTTGGGCAAGGCTCCATCTCCTCATCAACATGATCGTTGCCATTGTGAGTTTGCATGAGGAGTCTTTCGTTCACAAAAAACGCCAGTTCGGCCAGATAGCTTTTCTCTTAAAGTAATGATCCCCATTCGCAGGTCGTAATGTGAAAGAAAAATGTAAATGAGTCTCTCATGTTTCTTGCTTGAAGCGGGTTAACTCCTTAAGTGGGGAACTCCTCAGACAGAAGTCTACCACTGGAGTCAAAACGTTTTTGTGAGAATAATAACTAGTATTTGTGTGTGAAATTTACAACTCTTTTTCGAGTTTATAGTCCCATGTCTAGTTTTTAATTTACATTTCACCAACTTCAAATATAGCGTGACGAAAGGAAATATCAAACCCCCCTGAGGAGCGTTTTAACATACCGGATATGTACGTCGTGCCCACTTAAGGGGTTAAAATTGCCATCGTTTTCACATCTCTTTTGCTACATTTTCCTTCCTAAAGAATGGATCCAGGATTTATTGGTGTTTTGGAGATGATTTAGTAATTTCTTTATATGTATATTTCATACGAGCGAGTTTGTTTGCCCTTCAGGCAAACAAACTCGTGTGGTCGCGCCTTCAGCGCACCATTACCTTGCATAGTTATTAATTCATTCATTTTTTGCGAAAGGGGAAACACGTATTCCAAGTATGTCCCCATTGAAATACGTGACATATGGACAACGCACAACAAAAGTTGAATTTTTACTTAAATCAACATCACGTCCGTTATGCGTGCGCCAGCTGCTACTTTTCTATTTCTGCCCGATTCGCTGAGATATTAAAAATTCTTTGAAAACAAAACGTCCCCATGAAATATCCCCCCAAAATTCCAATATTTTTTAAATTTGGCCTTTTTCCTTAGCTCAGTGCGTCAGCAGAAACGTTCTTGCCAGGATTCAGCTTTCCACGTGCCGCCGTTTGATTGAAGCGAAGAGACCTATTTGAAATTATGTTTCCCGAAAAGGTTTGCCTCTTTGGCATGTATCATCAAAGTAGAATTTTTCCTGAACTCAGCATGCGAATAGCGACTTAGTCAGTCAGCTACTCATGGTCCTCTATATATAATAAAAGAATTTTTTCTTTACTCAACTATCCATCAGGTTCTTCTTTGGCAAGTTTTAACTTTCCAGCGCCCTCTTTTCTGTTTGATCGGGGAAATTCGAGAAAATACGCCCTTTGCAATATATGTGCTCTCAGGCGTTTTAACCGAAAAGTACTTTTCTTTTTTACGGAAATCAATTCTCAGAAAACTACATGACCGCAAAGTTTCAACCTAATACGTTTTCCCTTTTCACAGATGAAAAAACATGTTTGGAAAAGCTGACGCACCCAAAAGCTATGCCAGGAGGGGATGCACCATGAAAGCTGAATACTACCTCAACTCAATAATAATAATATTATGTCACTTATACGTGTTCCAAGTTTCAAGAAATTTGTGCCCCCGGGGCATTAACTTCCAAAGTCGGATTTTTTCTGAACTCTGCATCCCAAAAGGTGCATGTGTACCAAGTTTCAGATTTCTAACCCTTCTAGAACATGATTAGAATTAGCGTCAGCCAGTCACGATCGTCTGTATATATTACATATATACGTTGATTCCAATTCAATGCCGAGTTCGCTGGGTCCGAGACTCACCCGGAAAGGCGAATAGGCCTACTGATCTCTCCGTCCGACGCGCGGGGAATCGCCTGGAGTCTTTTTCCGGTTGGGTTGCGTCTCCAGACGGAATCCTCATTTGCGACCACTTTCTTCCTTCCGTTCGTGGGTGGGGAAATATCGGGTACGGGATGAAGGCCGCTGCGGAGCATCCGGTGACTTCGGGGAAATGGAGACCCGTGCAGCGGCGAGTTCAGCGCGACCTCGCTTGTATCGTGGGAACTTTATTTTATCGAACGAACTGCTAGATGTCAGGCCAGGTGGCAGCCCGTTTCCATCTGGTCCATCGAGGTCATTCGAATTAGACCGTCATTGTCCGTTAAAAGACGAGCTAACTCATCGATCCAGTTATAATGCCACGCCATCGATTTAATGATCGAAGTTCTGGGTGTTCTATATTATATATTACAGGGTTCACGTTAACTCGCTATAGCGAGTCCCTAACTCATATTTTCTTGGAGAGATTCATATTTGCACAACATCTAAGTCTTTGGGACTCGTCGACAATCACCTGAACATGTTCCCATTGAGTTGAAGCTAGGGGCCAGGACTCAAGATTTTAAAAAGTTATTGTGAACCCTATATTATATTCTATATTGAAATCTTTCATATGCGATGTGAGATTTGAATGTAAAATACGAAATTCGGAAATCACATGATCAGATGCTCATGTCGCCATCCCCAAAAAACTGTAATTAAATAAAATTGAAAAAATTGAGGATTGGATGGTGGGAAATCCTGAAGCTCAGAATCCTGATGGAGCTCAGACCCTTTGATAAGATCCATGGCATTCGATGAACATTTTAAAGTTGGCCAATCCTGGACTTTCATCCATCTCTGGTCTACTGGATCAGCCATGGTTACTTGGGTTTGTTTCCCTTTTTAGCTCCGAATAAAAAAATATTGATGATGCAAAAACAAATTTCCCTCATTTAAACATCCAGAATGAAACGTCATTGACCACAATGACACAAACTCCAAAAGAGGTCACAGTGACTCAGAAGTCTCACTGGGCCTTGAAGTTGTGCATTCCCGTATAACCCTGCAAGATGTACAAAAAATTGTAGGACTACTGCAAGTACTGAAAGAGTTAAACCCTTCCATGGCGGCCTTGAGCAAGTGCTTTTCATTGCATCATGGCTTGTCACTGGACTGCTATGGTCTGCTGTCCACAAAGGTTTTCTCCAATCTTCCATTGAACAAAGAAGTTTAAGAAGTACCAGTATTGATTTTAAATCCTCACCTCCACAACTATGCTCAATCTCACAAGTGTGCAACACTGGATGCCAAGGCATGCAATCAGATGGTACAGTCAAAACTTGAGTTGAAACATTTCCATTTTGATTGACAAATGAAATTCATTTCATGAAAAAATGCAATGAATGGGAAAAAAAAATTAATGTTGCAGAGCCTCAGAGGTTTTTTTCTTTTTAGCAGACTCATATGTGGGGTGGGAGGGCACAGGAAAAATGAAAATGTGCAAGAATGGACAAGCTGACATCAATTAATCCATTTTCTAACTTGCACCATGATCCCTAATTGAATGCCCTTACCATGTGAGACTTCGTGTGAGTTTGAATGGAATTTTGGATGTGGAATTATTTTTGCTGATTTACATTTAAATTGAGCATGTAAGATCAACAGATGATTCGTGTAGGAAGAATTGACAAGATTATTTGATTTTTGGATAAGAAACTTCCAACCCTAATTACAACTAATATTCTCTTGTTAGCCTTTAATAAATGCCACAAGTGATGCAACATGTGCCACTTCCTTTATTTCATGCCAAAAAAAAATTCTACCAGATGCTCAGATATGCAAATAGGGCAGGAAAATCACAAGAGTGGGGAGGTCCACCATGGGATCAATCACTTACAGTGGACTGTAAGGCCATTCATGAATTAGAAAGAGATCAACGATCATGCCATTGTAACACTAAAGAACAAGCAAACTCCCTTCTAAAGACAAGCTTTTTGGAACAAAATATTCAGCTTCAACATTTTGCATTGCGTGATCCCAGGTTTAGGTCAGCTTGAATAAGGTAGGCCTTGATTTGTTCCTAAACAAGGCTCAAAGCTCATCATATGCTGGAGATTCCAAACTCATTGACAGCAGTGGCCACAACTCTATGATGCTGGTAGCAGATGATTTCAATGGTATTGGAACTGCATATTCCACATACTGTCATGATCTTGCAGAAAGAATATCTGCCAAAATAACATCAGCTGGTTTTATGATTACTGGAGCTACTCATTCATCAAGTGAATGCTTGCTCATCCCTGCCTTCTTCCTTTCACAGTCATCGTCATGGTCAGTGTCACTTTCACTTTCACTGCTGCTGCTACTGTGGCCCTTCTCCAGTTCTTGCTTTGTATAAAATTCCTTCCTGGCTGAAGCCAGCAGGACATTATGGAGGAGGTTCTTGTTGGGTGGGTCTGTCCTTCCCAATGGGGGAAAGGGGTTTCCTAAATGTATAGATATGAAGCCAATAATTTTCAATAAAACATGAACAAGTCATAAAATGTCTAATTCAGAGAAAGTGAGACTCATAAGAAGACTTACCTTTCAGTTCCAGCACAACTCTGTAAGGGGTGCGAGCTGGGAACGGGACAGGGGCATTGAGACGACGGGTGTAGGTCTCGTTGAAATTCTGATAACGAGGCACCAACACCTTGAAGAGCTTGTGGATCAGTTGCTTCTCTTGAAGCCAGAAATCTGCTAGTTCCATCGTGGGAAGGTGCCGGTCTCCATGCCGAATTGCCTCAGAGATCAGCTGTATGATTGACATTGTTTTGCATTAAATGAATAATGTGAATGGAACACCAGTAAGCTCTTCTCCATTTTTTAAATACAAATAAAACCTAACACAGTCCAGATTACTTCAAGGACAAATCCCATAATAATGTATAATAAACTGAGTTTAGGTACCAAACTGGTTCAACAATTCAAAGGCCAAGTCAACTGGGAAAGATGGGAGGTTTGTCCTCCATAATCAAGCTCATTTAGTAGTTCACAGGCCAAAGAATATTGGTACTGGAGAGTGGAGAAGCATGTTTAACCCTGATGGCATCCATCAATTGACTTGCACCCCATTAACAAAATAAAAACCCATGCATTTACTGTATATTTTGCTCAATGTGTCTCTACAGATACTTTCTCTTCACAGTGAAATCTGATGGAAGATAATCACTCAGAGTTGTTCATAGGATGATTGGCAGCCCAAAATACTTAGATACATATCTTACTTCCTTCTCACTGACAATATCCTCTCTGGCATTCTCAAATGACTACCATTCAGGTGTGGGTAACCACTTATGCCATAAAAAGAAAAACTTTTACCTTTGTTCATGCTTTATGAAGTTTCATACAATGTGAAACATTAATTCCAATTGTCCCAGCTACCCCTCAGTGAATTTTTAAAACATATTCATTGCTCTGCTGAAACTCACTTTTCAATAAGGCATGAAAAAAGGCATATTACCAACATAATAGTAAATTTATTCATGGCACTTCTTTAACACTTCCCTTCATGAGCCAAATTCTTCGCTTGCATTCAACACATTTACACGAGTCCAAGAGGTTTTCATTTCATCATGCAAGTTTTATATGAAGAGACAATTCGAAGATCGGCCAGCATTGGCTGTGTGGAAATAAGAAACAAAGTTGAAAGAAACATTGGAATGAGTCAAAAGCAACAAATCTACAGCATATATATGGTTGACAATTTTTCTCACCCTTTCAGCATATTGACGACTTTCATCTGCCCGATTTTGATTGAGTTCAATTCGTTCATATTTGATGAGAGCTCCAACAGTCACTCGAATCTTCTTCATGCGGCCAAACAAGCCTTCGGGTTGACTGAGGTTGCGCCTCTTTGTGGGTATTGCGAACTTCAAGGCTGGAATTAATCTTCTAATTTCTGATTGATTCATCTTCTTTCCTCAATGCCTCAAGGGTGGATTTCGACTAAGACCAAAATAAAACCAGTCTGCCTTGCCCTCAAAACACAGGTTGTCCAACTAGGCTACTACAGAGAAAGCAGGGTCAACGTAAGTTCCTCCCAAATCAATCAGGCCGATTTAGCTCTCGCGGGGAAAAGATCTATGAGGACGCCATCATTCGAATCTTGACGAGATGCACCGACACCGCCTGAGCACGTGCAACATGAGGACAGAGGGGGCCGCCATATTCCCCGGAGCCTGGAAGGAGGTTGAGCAATCACGTGCCTTCACGGCTTGACGGAGAGAGCGCCACGGTACCTCTCCTATCGGGCACACGTGTAGTCGCAGTTGCTCTCATTGGGTCGCTAGGTGCTCGTGACTTTGCAGTTGTCGTGATATCCTGACGTTACAAAGTCCTGGTAGTCGCGCGTATATCAGGCTAGCGACAGCCTGACCTGCGACAAATGGGAAGTTTGGATGCAGAGGAGGCATCTGTCTCCCTTGATGATGACAGGGAGATGTTAGGCGTACATTCCGCATCAGATGATATGCATCCGCCAATATTGGAGGAAGGCACTCCTTTCTTCTTGCAGAACCTCTGGACATTCGGTAAGAGGATCTTGTTTTGTCTTCTCTCTTGTGGATGCTATGAAGGTCTGCGATTGAGATCCAGTTTAATAACCCAGAGTGTCTGTATCCTTGGGTCCCGGATCAAGTTGAGTTTATCTGAATTTTAGCTGAAAGAGAAATGGTTTTGGGGATGATACATGAACGATCCACCTAAAGCAGGGCTCTAACTATAGTGTTCACGCAAAAAATCCGTTTTCCACCCTTGCTAGTGACTCCAAGTCAACCATGCCAGCACCCCCTAGGGATATTGTGTTTCTCTTTAAGTTAGGCCAGGTTAGGTTAGAGGGTGGGTGTGGTGTGTATTATATATAATAGGAATCCCAATCAATTGAGATTCTGGGTGACTCTACTTGTGCACATTTAACTGGATGCATTTGGTTAACTGTAAGTAGAACAGGTCTAAGCCGAACCGTGCACGTAGAATTTACAGTGTGCCCAATGGGGTCTGCAGCAGTGGCATATTTACAATGGGCAGGGGGTTTTACTGACTTCAGCCAAAATGTGCCACTGGTCTATAACACAAATACTGGGTAGAGTCATCATGGTGACTCCAGCCTGCAGTTAGCCAATGCACAAAGTGAAAATGGGTGGGAGTGGCCTTCCTGTAAAAAATTCATTTTTTCAGTCTGTGAACATGGCCTTCCAAGATTTTGCTAAGGGAGTGGGTCCTGCAGTAGGCTCCAGTTCAATGCAGGGTGCATTCATGTAAAATTGCTGTTCTGGACTAAGTGAATTGTGCTTTGCCCAGCTTGCTTTTGGATGGGCTTGCTTGAGTTCTTATGCAGTTCATAACCATAATGTATGTTCCCTTGGATTCCTAGTCAGTTCAGGTTCCAATCTGACTTTTATGTCTGGGTGTGTGGGCCTTATTGAGTATCAAAGCTGGGTTAATTTTTAGGCCTATAAGTTGAAGGAGTTTATAATAAGCCAAAGTTCTGGAGCAATTTTCCCTTTTGTGTCTGAATTCTTTAAAAATATGTGTTGCAGTGACAACATTCTTCACCAATCATGGATGGCTGACTCTTGGCTTGATCTTCATCATCCTCTGGCTTTGGGGTATCCTGAAACCAAAGTTTCAAAAATGGGCTCAGAGTAGAGAAGACCACATCATGGCTGCTGCGTATCACAAGGGTGAGTCCAACAGGAAATGTCTGCTTTCCCTAGTATTTTTGGTTTCATTGTATGCCTTCTTTGGATGTGAAGGACATTTATCATGCAAATATTTGGGCATTGAAAGTGTGACCCTCTTTCATGTTGAACTATTCAGGAATTTCAAGAGCTGTGTTACAGTACGCTGTTGTACAATATCACACATGGGATGTTCCCATGAGAGACAGTTCAGCCATATCTCAAAAATTCTAATGAGCTCTCTGTGATGGGTCATGCATTTCTACAGTTGAGAAGGGAGTGTGTAGATAGTCAGTGGAAACCAATTGCTGAAAGAGAGTAGTGCAACAAATATCTACACTTCCTATAGCTGTGAGGTACATTGTGTTTTATCGCTTGTGTCAGACATTTTTATTGTTTCTCTTGACTCATCCATCATGAACTTCCCATAAATAAGCGTTCAAGTCAACTGAAAATTGTCTGACTCAAGTGATAAATGGATGTATGTAATTATTGCACCATCCTGTTCTAATGGTGGGTTTTGACCAACTGTCCAGTGCATGCACACTGCCCAGAAGTCTTGTTCTACATTATAATATTCCATTTGAATTTGCCTTAAATGAGTGCATGAAGTTTGATCCTATTTCAGAGGGAGCAATGACTTTCAGTTGATTTTCAGATGATGACTCTGCTGTTATGGCCTAGTTTGATGGCTTTTCTTGAGATTTATTTATCTCCTCAGACAGCCAATGGCTGTAACAGCATATCATAAATATTGCAATTCAGATGCTGCCATTGCATATGCAGGCTTAATTTTTATGTCATTGCACTTGTATTTACTTTCTGGTGAAAATTCTACTTCAGCCATGTTTTAATTCAATAGTATTATAAATATACCTTTGTCTATTCATTCTGCAAGCAGCCTAAAACTGGTTTTTGACATGTGGAAATCCTGGTTGACTTCTTTTTTCAAATTCATCTCTATTTATTTTTGTTACATGTATAATGTTTTCAGGAACAAAGAGGTTTCTGTAGGGAGCATTCCCATTTGTGATTGTAGCATTTGCTATCCAGGGGAAAAGACTTAGTAAATCTAAAGATACTTCAGGAAATGGAAGATGTTCATCAACCTTGTCCAGAAGTGCTGGAACCAGGAATTGATATTTCATGTATCATGTGATTTTGTGAATCATTATGCCATAAAGCATTCTTTGACTCTTTCCTTATTTGTGTAGATCCAGACCTGGTGATTCAGAGGCATGAGAAAGCAGCAGAAGCTAGGCTTCGTTTGCAAGAGAAATACGATCAAGATGCAGCTGCATATGCTGAAAGGATGAGGCAGGTGAGGAAAGCAAGAAATACATTTTCTGATTATAGGTGTAATTTGGGGGGAGGGAGATCATATTAGATTTGATGCAGACCTGGATCAGGGCTTTTGAGTGCCAATTGATCACTTGGTTGACCTCTGGATAATGTGATAGCTATGCTTATTTTCACCATACTCTGTGGAAGGGGTGAAGGATCTATTAGTGAAATATCTTGAGATTCTCTGAAATCTATGGGCTTCTTTTTCATATGAGTCAATCATTACAATTTGTTGAGGAAGAACCACAGAGTCCCAAAAGTGTTCAAGAATAGATTTATGCATTGTTAGCAGTCCTTTTTAAAATATTTTTTGCCCTATATATAGAGGGTTAGACTGGTAGGATCCCTGCAAATCATACGATGGTAAGCCTAGTGGTTTTCCTGTGTGGAAGTGAGAAAAAAGTGGTCTGGCATTGGCTGAAGATAATGAATAGAAGAGTTGCATGTAGTGTAGTTGCAGTCATGTAATGAACTTATGACACTTTGAGATTCATCATGGAAGTCATATGTACAAGGAGAGTTTCACATGGGACTCATTGTTTTTTTTTCTTTCAGAAAGAAGAGGAGAAACGGAAAGCCAAATTGCAGCAGATGGAGAGAGAAGGGAGGGCATTGGGCACAACGGGAAAAATGAAAGTGGAGGAGCGTAAACCCACGAGTCCGGATACGAACTCGTGCGATGTTCGCCCGAGAAGAAATGTTCTGAGGGCAGACTTCAATCCCTTGATGGGACCCAGTGGGGGCGCCTTCCGACCACAGCCTAGGGGGGGAGGTCGGCGAGGCGGATGAGGTTAAGGTCTTCTGGCATTGAGGGCTCTCTCTGGTTTTTTTAATTTTCCACTAGGGAGGGTCTGATTGCCAGAACACAAACCCATCTCGGCCACTTTTGCATGACGCATCGCGCTCCAAAGAGTTTGCACTCAGAGCCGATGCTGATGTCGCCGTTTGTAAACTCCCTAATGTGTGATTGGATAATCTGGATTATTATCCATTGGTGCCTGGAATGATTACCATTTACTCTAAATAAATTATGACTTCGTCCTCTGAGTATTTTTTTGTTTAGATTCAGCTCTTTGCGCTTCACATTTGGAAAGAGAATTGAAGTTGGACAAATTCCTGGAGTCAGGGGGGAGGGAGAGGAAAAAAAGTGCATCGGCATTTCCACCTTCCTCATATTATCAGTAAGTCGAGGATTTGGTTCAACTTGCTGCTCTTGCATGTGCTCTTACCAATTTGCATAGAAGGTTCGATTATAACCCTCGAAGTTGATCATGACAGTGAACTGATGAAGTCTGCAGATATAGGTGTTGCATTTACAGATACTGCCAGAAAACGAGTCAGGACAATGGAAGTAGGCACACCAGGGCCGAGCCTGGAACTTGAACCATCCACAAGATGGTTTTCCCATCCTTGTAGTCTTCGATCTCAGACATTTTAAATTGCACCTAGGAACAAGCACAGCGATACTTGACCATAACAGAAGCTGGCCCTACAGTAAGTGTACCCTTGACTGTTTCGATTGAACTTGTTTTCATTCGACTACGAAACCAATACGATAATACAATACGACAATACGATAAGGCAGCGGGCAGAGGAGGCTCTAAGCCCATAACTTCGCCCTGACTGGAACCAGCAAACCCACTCTTCCATCTGAACACTTCAACCTTGAGAGACTGAGTTGCCCAAAGCTGGCAATAATTGAAGTTCAGCCTGCCGTGAACGTGACGAAACGAAGCGATGACGAACTCAATCGAAAATACTTGGCAGAACGAAAGGGGAAAGAGCGGTCGACGCATACTCGCCGATACCATTGCCGTCGCCGATTTAGCAGACGATAGTGACGTCATCGAGTTTGATCGATGGCGGCCTATTCCCCGGCGCGAGGAATGTATTGAGTGCCGGCCCGTTTTTATTTCCAGAACGTCGAGATTTGTGTATGAACTGCAGCACCGCTTATGTAATGCGGGTGAGTGTGGAGGCACAGCCAAGACGTGCCTTTAGAGCAGGACAGGCTGATTACCTAAATTGGGTTGGCATGACTGGAAGAAATCGAGTGGTTACGTTGCGTCATGATGATTCATCTGGAGTTGACTATTTACGACGGCGGAACTCTACTGGAGCAAATCCTCAAGCAGGTTTCAGATACAGGCCTATTTCTGCTTTTCTTGAAGCTGTTTATCTTCGACACATTCAAAATAAGAGATAGCAAATACTAGGACATCTGTAATTTCGTTACTTTTCACTTTAAGTTAAGCAGAATGAAGAAGGAGCAACAGGAAAAAAACGAAAGCAACTGAGAAACTGTTTTCAAATTTAAGTTTCTAGACTTTGAAAATGGCACAGAGCCTCAAAAACCAGTACTATTGAGTAAATCTGGGATATCTGGTTACCCCCAAAAAAATATCCCAGAGTTTTGCTCATTGAAATGCACACCTTTCCAATGCAAAGCTAAGGGAAGATGAATGTGGACTCAAAACATTCAGCCAAACATGCTTCATTTCCCAAGGGAGACAAAGGATGAAGGGATCCTGTAATTGACCTTTAAGCCTCTTGAACTTTGAAAACACATCTCATGCCAGGTGGGTGACTAAAATGGCAGTTTTTACAATTCTTTTTTGTACTTGTAGTTGCTCTCAACAACACAATTCATATATGTTGCAGATGGAGCACGAAAGTAGAGCTGTGCAGTAAATGGTCCAGTGTCAAACTATTGTCAGAAGCTAAAATCTTCATTTCCTCTCCTATTTATTCCTTTTGGATACTCCTGGGGATACTCTAGTGTTGTTGCTTGCATCCTGTGATCTCTGAGGGAATGAAGCAAGAGAGGTGTGTTTGCTCAGATAGTCATTGTTTGAGTCTTTTTTTTTTTCACCTTTCAAACTGTTATTTACATCTCAAGTCCAGCATCTGCATGCAGTACACAGAAGTATTCAGCAATTTCAACATCAGTAACTCTTTGCCTCATCGTTACTCAGACGACCACCAAGAATAGGGAAGTTTGAGAGACTCCCATGAAGAATCCACTGTAGAATCCTTATGGGAGTTCCAAGGAAGCAAGAGAAGAGGTGATGGAAAAGATGACTTGCCCAAATACCTTGGCATATGTCGCAGGAGGATCCAAGGATTTGTCATCCCTCTGTATCTGAGAACCCTCCACAGATGTTGGAGAATGCCATACCAAGTCCTTCCTTTCAACAGTATATTAGGAGTGATTACTGCATCAATGATTCAGTTGAAAAAAGGCAATAATTTTTCATTGTGTTGTTCCGGCTCTTCTTGTTCTCTTTTAGCTTTCCGCCTGGCATCCATTTGGTACTTTGAACTAGAATCAGATATTTTTCTAAACTATGGCAGTGAGTGACAGTTCCTAAACTTAAGGAAGACTTATGGTTAGCAGAGTTTCCCTTCTGTGTGCAATAATTGGTCCATGAAACACACCTTCCACATATCTGCACAAACTGCTTTCATAGATTAGGAGGCAGTCGATTGGAACTAATGCATTTTGCCATTCCTGCCATTCAAGAAATAAATTTCCTTTTGCATCAATCAGTAAGGGTGAGGTAATATGAATTGTAATTCTTGTGGTCACTCCTTCACTCTTAATGAAATATGCACTTATATTACAGGAAGTTCAAAAGGCAAAAGTTTCAATACACTGTCTGTGTAATCTTCCAGCTATTGAGTATGGTCAGAGTGCATATATTAAGCAGAGGAATATGCATATCAAAAGGAGAAACCTCAACCTAACTCTAGTTTCTTGGTGATGAAACTATAAATGCTTCTCCTTGGTGCAACTTTTTGCCTACCTGTCACCCTTGGCTCATGAGCCAAAATGCACCCCATGCTTAAAATTCCACTGTCACAGGAAGCAGTATGTCTTACATTCCCCAGCTGATGCTTCTATTCCCATGACATGACCAATTGAGGAAGAATCTTTTATCTTATGCCACTTATTTGTTTCTTTTCTGAGAATGACTTGAAAAATAAAAATTTTGAGTTGGAATTAGTGTTTGAAAGCATCAAAGAGTATGTTGGTTAGTAATCTTCCAAAAGTTTCATATTTTGCCCTCCTTCAGGCATCTGGTGTAGGTCGACGGTGAGGGAATGTTCCCACTGTTGCAGCTTATGCATTGCAACAGGTCTCTTTATATTGTCACATGATTTCTTTGTAGTAATATCTTTCCTGATATCTATATCAGAAGAAAATTGGGGTGCACTTGTGATACATTTTTCAGATTTGGTACCATCAACAGGTTTCTGGGTAGACTTCAATGTACGACACTGATCAGAGGCTTTTTCATTCCTCCCCAGAGGAATGCATCAAAGGGGAAAGGAAGATTTCCCTCAGATTCTTGTATCCTTTACTGCTTCACCACACATGCCCAAATGCAATAGGAATCATAGAGTAAGTTTGTTGTTAATCTCATAGAAATCTTGAATTTTCCTTAATCAAGAGTCTTGCAGCCATGCTGTGGGCCTCGAGTGTTGGAAGAGGGGGAACTTGCTGGCATTTGGTAGAGATGAGAACACAGTCCTGGTATATACCTCTGGCAACTTGCTCTGCTTCTATGATGTTGCAAAGTCCACCACCTCCTTCTTTGAGCTGTCACAAGATGTCAAGTCCGTGACTTGCTTGGCAGTACGTTTCTTGTCTGTTGGAGTTTACCAGATGCTGGAGTCTCTTTTGAGCAAATTCTCATATTGCCAAGGTTTTCTAGTGTCTTCCTTTGAAGGAGATAAAAAATTGCATGTGATTAAAACGAATTAAACTCGAGCTAAGTCTGGGTCAGATGCACTGCACCTCATAAGGTATCTGTTTGTAGGTATCCTGGAGGGTTCTTTTGAGCCTAATGGAGGAAGTTTTTTCTCACCCAAAATTGGATGCGTGCATATTTTAACATTTTCAGAAACTAGGATAGTGAGGACCAAAATTGGCACTGAGTCACAAATTGCACTGCTTATGGAAAAGTAGAGTTTTTCATTTCAGAAAGTTCCACAGGGAAACCAGTCAACAGGAAAGTGTCTTTAGGATGGACATAAGTTTTAAAAAAATCTTGCAGAAGATGAAAGGGCTTTCCTTAAAATGCTCATTAGCTTCAGAACTGAGCTTGAAAAAATTAGCATTTTCTTCCAGATCATTAGTCACAAAGCTACAGTTGATGCCAAAGGAAACTGGGAAGTTTCATGCATGGAGATAGATCTCAGATGAGTTCCTGAGATGCAAAAAGTAGCTGTTTTGCCCATTTTCTTGCTTCTGCTCTTTATTTATGGATTCCTCCAGGATGCTTAGTTCTAAGTTGATATGTAATCCATGATGTAATGGATATTTTGTGCCTCTCATGAATGGTAGTCCCATTAACATGAGAAAGGCTAACTTTGCATGAATTTCAGAATGAAGGCTTCAGTGAGAAATCAGTTTTCATCATTAACTCCCCTTTAAAATGTAAATTACTCCCATCACTTGACATTTTGGAAATATAGGTAAGACTTTAGAGATGAAACACTGGTTTTATGATTAGACAGAGCCCATGAAATAGCACTTATGATGAGTTGTGATGTATGTCAATCAAGGGTTCAAGGGAGAAGAATCTGATTGGGATTGGGGAGCGACTGAGACAGGGCTGTGTGATCAAGATACTTGAATGGCCAAGCATGGAGGAAGTTTCATCTCTGGAGTGCTCTGATGCATCCACCATCCTCTCCCTCAGCTTCAAGTACTGTATAATCTCATTGGGAACTACAGGCGGGAGTAGTTTGAATGGATCGAGATTTCCCCAATGGAGAGTGATGGTAATGTCATCTTTTGCAGTTGCGAGGAGCCGAGCCTCATATGCAGTGTGACATCTATCCCTCCTTGTATGCTCACCATATGGGATTGGAAAGTTGGTGGGAAGATGTTGGAGAAAGAGGCCCATCCAAGTCTCCCCGTTTATTCTGCTGCCTTTTCGTCATACAACAAGGGATTTATCACATCTGTTGGTCAGGGAAATTCCTGTAGTCTTTGGGTTAGATTTTCCCACCTTACTTGCATACCAGCTTCACACCATCAGGAGAAGAACACATTCGATTCTGGAGACTCGCTGACACCCTCACTGGCCTGAAGTTGAAATGCGAGGAAGGGAAGTTTGGCCTCCATGATGTGTCTGACTTCCAGGCCTTACTCAATCTCCCTGATGGCAAGGTTGGAAACTACAAGGCTTTCCTTTTGTCATTTATTGATACCTCATGATTGGGAATTTGGACCCAAACAGGCAGTGACAGGAAACTTCAAAGGCAATGTTTACCTTTGGGAACGAAGTCAAGTGAAGATTGAGGCAAAAAGAACAGGAGGAAAGCCAGCACATGGAGGTTCTATTGTACAGTGTTTTCTGGAAGAAGGAGAGCTCACAACTCTGGGTAATACCTTATTTCACTAGCAGACATTTACATCTTTGATCGACACTAATATTAATTTTCCATCAGGTGGAGATGGTGTTGTTAGAGTGTGGGATTATGAATCAATGGAGAATGGAGATCCTCCTATCATTGGCTTGGACCCTATGAATGAGCTAAGGATACCAGGTGCGTGCCCACATTCCATGGTGCGGTCCGCAAGCCCTTCGACTCCGCATCTCTGGTTTGTTCAGGTATGTGCCAATCTCTAGGATTCCACTGAGGTTGGCTTGGAAACCCTTCCAAATGACATGAAAAAAGAACATGCACTGAGTCTTCTGTCATTCCTATAGGATCAAAATGGAGGAATATGGGAGGTAGATCTTTCCTTCTCCCTCACAGCTGCCAGTCCCCGTCGGTTGATGTCGGCCCATTCGTCACCGGTGATGGGCTTGAGTTCGAGCCCGACATCTCATGTCTTGACTTCCTGTGGCCAGGATGGTAGGGTCATTATCTATCAAGTCCTGCAGAAGAAGATTACTGCCTCACTGCAGTTCTCAGCATTGGCTTCAACTTTACTCTGGATTCCCCCAATTGTAAGGATTTTCAGGGATTCTTTTACCATATGCAGCCTTTTTCACCAGCTTATGATATAAGTAAATAATTATATCTCATCTCAGGTTGGGGGTAATGGCCAGACACTTGCAGTTGGATTTGAGGATGGCATTTTGCGACTTCTACTCCTGCATCAGATGGCCTCATCTCTTTGTCTAATTCAAGTGCTTAAGCCTCATTCCACTGCCATAACAGCTCTGTCTGTGTGCAAGGAGCCAAAATTGCTTGTTACTGGAAGCACCGATCTCTCTGTCTTTGTGTTCTCTATTTGTGCCCGAGATGAGGATCCTCTTCTCCTTGTGCTTACACCTCTCATCTTCGTTCCCTTAGAAGCTGTGCCCCAAATAATATCCTTTGCACCTCAGGTTCAGATGCTCTCTTTATTCATGCATTCATTGTGATTTAATAAGCTGTGTTCGCTTTACGAATTGTTTATTCTTATTTAGAGAGGCCTTCTTGTTGGCTGCAATGATGGACAAGTCCTGGAATTTCCATTTGCTGTGGCAGACTTGGTCCAAGACTCAGAAGGTTCCTACTTAAAGTACATGACTGTGGGGAAGATTTACCAAGTCCAAAGCCATTCCTTGAAGATCTTTTCTATTTTACACACTGTCAGTCTCATTCATGATTGAAATTTCATTTCATAAGTTCGTATGTTGAGGTCTCTTGATGCATGATTTTGTGGTGTTTATAGGGACATGAGGAGTTTTCTCTCCTCTGGCAGAATCTAAAGGGAGGCCAGTGCATTGAATCACATTTCCGTTTTGATCAAAAATCTTCAAACCCTATAAAAGAGACTGTGTGGTCAGAAGCTATGACATGCGTCTCAGAGCACTTGTGAGTGCGTTGCTTGTTTCTTTGATTTGACTAGTTCCAGTTTCCAAAGTGCTTAACTGTCACTCCAGAATATCATGCTTCATTCTCTTCTTCAATGCTCCAAAGCCAGTAGGTTCATAATGCCTATTCATTAGGTTTGATACCATGCTGATCCTAATCCTCGATTTACTTGGATTCTTTGCCTAGCAATGGGCATTTGGTGATGGGGACACATGATGGAGGAGTTGCTGTGGTTGATCCCAAGCACCCTAGGAAGCCCCAGGCAGAGATTTTCCTTCACAACACATCAGCTGGGCCAGTGAGGGCTGTCAACGTGAGTCACGACTCCGCCTTTGCCTTTTCGGCTGGAGCAGATGGGAATGTCTTCTTTTATTCCCTCACTGGTGAAGAACCTCCAGAGGAAGTCTTATCCCTTCAGAATCTGGTGAGTATAAAACTGCCTGTCATATTTGCAGTTTCAAACTCCACAACAAATATGTAATGGACTCACCACAGAAGGGGGATGCCCCTCTTGTGGCGGACATTGAAGACCCAGCCCACCCATCGTTGGAAGTGGCGCTACAAAACACGCAGAGAGAAAAGGAGATGAAGACGTCTGAGGAACGAAAGGCCGAGGTGAAGCGGGAGGTGGCCCGGCTTCGCAAGGCATTCAAGCAGCTTCTCCTTGGGTTCATATCCACTTTATTCTTCTGATATGCTTTCTTTTTCTCATTTGTCATTCCCATGCTCATTTGGAGTTAGATTTGTGCAGCTTGTCCTGTGAATGATTTATGCCCTTCAAGTGACTGAATTGCGGTTCACCAAATTTTGAAATGACTTGAATGTATGCTTCTGAATTTTCATACTCAGAAAAAATCTTTTTTTTATCTTGCTTCAGATGGTACTCTGAAATATGCCTGAAAGGTCTGCTTTTTCTCTATTGAATGGAGGAATTAGAGATTTTAATAATTTATGCTATGTGGGATGTTCTTAATGGCTTATAAGGATAGTGTGCTATTGCTAGGCTCATAAAATAATAAGTTTCTGAGGTTTAAACCTCTTGTTCATTAATAGCTCCATGGAATTTATTTTTGCTTGTGTGGATAGCTTTTCTCTGTCAGGGTTTAATGAATGCATAATTTTTTAATGCTCAGTATTTTTCATTGACAGCAATGAGAAGCTACCAATTCACATGAGATTGAAAGAAGAGGACCTACGCCTTGATGAGCAGGTGTATGAACCCCTGGAGCAGCAATTCCAGGCTGAGAAAAGAAAGGTGGAAGAAGGCATGAGGAAGCGAGTGGAGTTGGCCAGGTGCCTCTATGAGAAGCTCCATTCTCACCTGGTTCTGCCATGGCTCTGGGAGCCTCTAGCTGTCAAGGCTGTCCGGTGAGCTGATGCCGGTTGGGTTATCCATTTGGAACTTTTTCAATTCTGATAGCAAGTTTTTCTTTATGTGTAGGGCTGAGGTCATGGTAGAAACCATTCCTGTCAAAAAATTCCCTCCAGAGCTTAAGGCAGAAGCAGAGGAGCTGAGGAAGGAGGTGACCAAACGGCTCAGTTTTCTTCCTTCTGATTACAGGTGGAAAGTTTGATAGTAATCCATGCCTTTATCAAATGATAAGTTAAGTCTTGCAGCAGAATCAGCATGTCTTTCTCCTTTCAGGTTTTCACACGACTTAGAACATCTGAGCGTGGATCGAGAGAGCAAGGAGAGGATCTCGTCGGACGAGGAGTTCCATGGTCTACTCGTGACCAAGCGAGAATTCCAGCCTTGTCTGGTGGATGAGAAGGACCTGAGGAAGAAGCGGGCGTTTCAACGATGGCAACAGCTGCGAGAGCAGCAGCAGAAGAGGGCCTCTCTTGTCTGTTTGCTTTGAACCTCAAACTCATTCTTGCATTAGGCAGCATAATAAAATTTCATTCTGTTTCAGATGGAAGAGCTGGAGAGGAAGAAGCCAAAAGAAGATCTCATGTTTCTTAAATCGGACACGTGTCAAGGGCGAAACCTGAGGATCCAATCGGAGGACGATTTCTGCCCTTCGGTTGATCTTGTCGACCCGATCTGTATTCGCTCTTCCCTCCTTGATTTGCAGTTGGAGGTGAGATTTTTTAAGTACTGAAGGCAGTATTTTTTATTTCATCCTCACAAGAAAAAAGTATTAGAGGCCAGGTAAGCTTATGGAGATCATTCCTTATTTGTCTGTCTTGATTATTCATTCTTTGCCTGCCTTCTTTTTGTGCTAGTTGTTGGGTGTACGTTGCGAGTTCAACGAGGCCATCAAATCCCTCCGAGACAAGAAGAATGACTTGAATGCTAAGATAGCGGTATTGAGTGAAAAAATCACCGATTTGCAGAGGGAATTCCCCCTGGGGCTCATTCTCCCTCTCCCTCCAAACATTGAATTTGAGGCATCTGAGTCCCCTGAGAAGATTTGGCAGGTGTGTTTTTTTTTATATTTTAATTACAACTCATAGATTGTTGCTTAGCTTTGTGAGTGATTTTTTTGTTATAAAAATAGGTGACAAATGAGAGCTTAAGGCAGCTGGAGGAAGAGTTGGGTGGCGAACGAAGCAGTGACCAAGACCAGTCCCCAGAAACCCAGTCAGAAAAGAGCAACAGCGTCGGAGGCTCTCGGAGGACGAGCCAGTCCGGGTCTCTCTTTCCGCCTGCCCTCAGTCGCCGGACGAGCGAGGTCGACCTTTATCATCTTGCCTGCATCCTGATACTTTAGTTTTTGGTATTTTTCGCTTAATCATAAAAGAGCAAAATGCTACATAAAGCTGAGGTTGCTTATGAGGAGCCATAGCCTGGATTGAAACCTAGTGACTGAATTTACAGTCTGAATAGGATTGTGGATTTAAGCCAATCTGAAGCCTTATGCTGCCTGGTGTCAAATACAGGGTTCTGGCCAAGCCTTCATAGCTGAGTGGCCTGCACAATTACAATTCTGGAATCTCCAGTGCTGCCTGGTAAAAAAATGCAGCCATTCTGATAAAAGCAGTACTGATCTGAATAATAGATTTTTTCAGCTGATGACAACTGCTGAAGGAAACAGTGTTATTTATTTATTATTAAATGATTGAATAAGAGATTTAATTATTAAACAAGTGCTTAAATAAAGTAAATTATTAAGTATATATAATAAATTGCTAAATTATTAACACCCATCTGTGTCTCTTCAGAAAGAGAGGAGATACAAAAATATTATAATTTCTCGGAAAGGAACTATAAGACGTGCAAAATGAAAAGAGAGAAATTCATGCTCTGCTTGCAAAGTCACGAATCCCTGAACATCCAGGACTCCCCCTCCCCCCCGCCCCCCCCGCCACAAGCTTTTCCTTCCTCCTCCCAATAATGACATTTCCAGGAATTCCCGTTGTGGATGGATGTCACCTGTGGACGTGGAGGAAACAAACTTCAGGGTGCATGGGAAGTCCCTGCACATATTAAAATTGTAATGACTTTTGTTATTTTTGGACTAGAACAATGGTTTTTGCGCCAAAAGAAGAACTCGATCGGGTTTCTTGATTTCATCGATTTGTTTGCAGTAACCTTCCACGGTGTCAAAATTGAATCTTCGACACCGTGCGCAAATAGCTGAAGGCTTATGAGGTGCGTAGGCGGCGAAGGTGGATCCAAGGCGCTCTCCTTCCGTCTTCTCCGCCTCCACACTTCGGCCACGGTCTCCTTAATTCTTTAATCGGTTCTGGAAAGATAGAGTGACGACTCAATAGGTGACAGTACCTCCATGTAAACGCCCCATCGCGATTCTAGTTTTCATTTTTTTAAGGAAGCCATTATGGAAAATCTCTATTTTGGGTTGGAAAATTCAGCTGATGAGAATCAATCGACTAATTAATCTTAGGTTGTCGATCCTGTCGCATCTTCTATACCGGTGATAAATTTAACGGAACCATCGCTAATTAACGACAAACTTTATGTCGTTTATAGTTAAAGTTATAGCATAACTTTGTAGTTCTGATGCTAAAGACAGACTTTCCGCGTGTCTTAGTCGCTTTAAGACGATATCAGAATGCTCATAGTCATAATCGTATTCCTTGTTCGATATCGAAACCATACAGACGATATAAATATATATGCATCGAAAATGTCTAAATACATTCATTATAATGTTCGATATCATGAATGTATTTATATAGATTTTGCATATCGAAGGCAAACAGGCGCATCGGTGGCATCACTTCCTGACCAGAAGATTTTGATGGGCACAAAATGTTAACGAGCCAAACTTATTCTAAAAACTTATTGTTGGGAAGCATCAGCCATCACCCATCAGCATCAGTTCGCCATCAATTTGTATCATCTTCTCAATTATATAAATTTAAATACCATGTATGAATGGCGACGCAAAGATCATCTGCGGTCGAAGGCGGCTGTCATGTCTTATTTACCGGGAGGATATTTAATGAAGGTGATAAAATGGTGTTTTCAGAGAATTTAATAAAACTTCCAGTTGGTCAGAAGTTCGAGTCGGCAGACCGTGAGAAATCGACTGGGAGTCGGACCGACGCGGGAGAAGGTCGTCGATGCGATGAAGAAGAGTTAATAAAATTGCATGATCAGATTTTAACGAAGATCGAAATAATTTAAGAATTGGTAATAACGTAAGGATTAAATGTTGACGGAAGAAATGATAAAAAAGTTATTGATGATGATTTCTTTTTTTTTAATAGCGAATAAAACCTTAAAAGTAATTCGGGAAGAAATTTCTCAATTGAGCGTCATGTGTATATTATTGTTTATTACCACCTATTAACATTTTCCCAGTGACTTATGTTCTTTTTTTTCTGGTACATAGGTACGATATTTACGCTCGTTTGCATCAGAATTGATATAATCTGACGCATGATCATCGATACTCGATCCTCTTAGCCGTCGGGAGATGGACACCTTAGGGACACCTTCGGTAATAAGTTGAGGGAAAAAAATGTTACCAACAGTTTTTAATTGAGAGATGTGATTAAATTTTGTCAGTCACCATCAAAGACATCTGTCTTCTCGTGATAAAAAAAAGTCTTGTAACTGGAAGTGCCTCGGGGTTAGAACTTTTTGATCGCCCCACGTGTAGTCGGCATTTTCTGATGCTGTTCGAGTGATTGTGCGGGTCTCTTAAGGTCATTAGCGTGTCGTCGTGTCGCGAGAACTTCGTGTCGGATTTTTGAGTCGGTGTGGCCCATCCGTAAGGGTTAGCGGTCGACGGTTTTTCCCGCTCCGAAAATGTTGAGAAGTGGAGAGGCTTTGCACGCAGAGACGCGACGATATGTGGGTACGGAATCTCGTTCGCGCGACCTTGAGACTCGCTTGAAAGCCAAGCGCTCATTCTCCTCGTAGCCTTGAGACGCCGTGGGGCCTCTCTCTCTCGCGTCCTTGGGCTTGCCCGTGCTGCGGTTGAGAGGCAAACGCTCTCGCGCTTTTATTGTGGCATTGCTTCGTGTGCCTCGCGGGGTGCGCCGTGGTGGTTCTCATTTGGTGCGTGTTTACTGTGAGCAGCCCGCGCAAATTGAGTTTTCCGAAGTGAAGTGGGGTATTCTACTTGGCGGTGTACCGATTCGTAAAGCTAATTTTAAAAATTTTGTTCCCTTAATATTTATGTCTTCTACTCTTAAGTAAGGTCTTGCTGGAAAAGAATTTCATGAGTAGCTAATGAAACAGCTGATTCCATCAGATCCAAACCATTACTATTCCTATATTTGACATAACAAATTATCAGGCGTTGATGGCTTTCCTCCTTCGAGGTATATCAGTATTGCAATTACGTAAACGAAATCTCGTTTATGTATCATGGATATTATCTGGAATAAATTTGTCAAATACATAATGAGGGCGATATAATGGGAAGAAGAAATATTTCCTTGAAAGTTGCTAAATATATAAGACAGTTATGCACGTTGGCTCGGTAAACTGGAATATCGATATCTTAAGTTTTGACACCTATCAATACCATGTGAAGCTTTGCTCGAAGGGAGAAGGAAACCGCAGCCGAAACCGTAACCTATTCGTAGTTGTCAGACCGGGAACAGGTCTTCTTCGGAATGACTCTTTTAAATCGTCTGATGATGAATCGGCTCCTCTGCCGTCTATGATAAGGGAGGGCATGATTAGTTTATTGCCTGTGAGTTTAAAAAAAAAAAACACCCGCAGGCAAGGGAGACAGGCGGGATAGGGTGAGTCAAGGGCGAGAGAATTGTTTGCGATGCCATCATCGACCAACTTGACCAAATCCTTGAGACGGTGGCCCTAAGTCAACCCTAATGCTCTCTACCGATACAATCTGCAATCTGAGACTATGAGGACAGAAAATTAGTGCAAGTAAAGCCCTTGAATGTCTGCTGAGAAATCCTGATTTTACTCGTGTTGAGATTTGAGAGATTTTAGTAACATAAGTTATCCACTATGGAGTACATTGCCAATGGAATTGTTGGGGTTTCATGTGGTGTGTTATAGTAATGTTTTCCCAAACGGTGTGCCGCGGCACACTGGTGGGCCGCCAGTAAGGCTTAAGTGTGCCGTGAGATTTCAGAGTTGACAAAAAAAACTAAAACTAAAAAAAAAAATTTTAAACAAGAGGGAACGCCATCTTTCAGTAGAAAACGAGCTGGGAGTAACACTATCACACCTCGTATCAAACTGCTGTGTTCAGCGAAGCAAGCACAAGTTTCCCATTGAAAGTAAGTAAATGGCTAGGTGTGCCGTGGAAAGTTCAAGTGTCCTTATGTGTGCCGCAAATGAAAAAAGATTGTGAACCACTGTGTTATAGGGCATTCTTTAAGGGAGAAGAGTGGATCTCAGATGCCGAGCAATTTGGTCCAAAGATACCAGGAAAAGCCCTAAAATTCTACCTACGAGCCGTCTTTCCCATATCTGTCATGGGTTTTAATTTTGACCATGGCACAGACTTGGGGCACGAAACTTTCCAGCAAAAAAAATATTTGCATACGAGTGTCAGGATTTGATCATAGTTTGATTAACATGATTGCGGTAACGAATTAGTGCAGAACGAATTAACTTCAGTGAATTAAATGAATCATTATTAATAAGCAAATGATACTGATGAGAGAGAGAGAACTTCTTTTGCCTCTTTTTTCGATTTGCAACATGTTCATAATGATTATAGCAATTGTAAGCGTTTCTCAATATCACCGAGTGTTTTTTTTTTAAATTATGATTGCAGGTGTCCCTGAGCGGAGAGAAATGGACCAAAGAGCTGGCAGTTCCGGGAGAACTTCTTGAGGCAGAGCTGGAAGAGGAGGATGCCGCCCCACTGGAATACGTTCAGTCCGAGCTGGAGAAGGAGCTTCGACAGCAGCAGCTACAGAGGTGCAGTTGGTGTCGCTCACTCTATGGACGGCATCCGTGCAGGCTTGCAATGCGAAACGTCTGGGATGCCCCAGGGCAGTGTCGGAGAGAGACCGGCTGCTGGCGGAGGCGGACGCGTCGATCGACGCGTTCGATCGAGAGGTGGAAGGGATGTACGCCCGGAGGATCGACGTCGACCTCGTCCTGGCGAGAGGGGAGCTGCAGGTTCTTCTCTTGGAGGAGAAGTGGCTGGCGCTCAAGGATTACCTTCCTCGAGAGGAATCTCTGTTGGATCGCGTCCAGTCCAAGCGCAATCTCCGCTCTCAGCTCTTCCAGAAGGTGAATTTCATTTCCACAACTTCACCATCCAGCTAGCTCGACTGGCTTCTTGGAAACGAAAATGCCTTCCATCGATGCTTGCAGTTGGAGGAAGGTAGAGGCAAGGAGATGAGATTGGAAGCCGAGATACAGAGAGCCGAGCAGCTGAAATCGCTTTTGAGAGAAAACTTGAAGTGTCTGATTTCAGAATGTCCCAATTTCATGTCAACTCTGGAAAAGATATATCATTCAAATGATCCAGTTGGGAGCCTTACGTGTCCCGAAGGTTGCGATATTTCCATCTTCAATGAAGCTCTAGACTTGTGCACAAAACGGTATTTTTAATGCTTTTGCCCTAATGCTCCTCACTACTTTTTTCATCCTCTTTTCATATACACAAGTTTATCTGCTTTTCAGACTTGCCCTGGAGGAAATTCTCAACTCCTGCCAAGAGCAGAAGAGTGCAGTGACAACCAGCCAGGCTGAGATTGAGAAATTGTTTCAAGCGGCACAGGAACAGTTCCTCCAGATGGAGAAAGAACTCATTGCCCTGCAGGTAAAGGGAAAGAATTGAAGTTGAAAGCTTCCTTGGGCCATGATTTGTTTCATTTGAATTTCATGTGCAATTGCAATCTTGCAGAAGGAGAAATGGAAAACTGTCAAGGACCTGGAAATGACCCTGGTCATTTCCCAAAATGAAATTCACTGCTCTGACTTATCTAAGGCCATTGTCATGCCCTCAGAGGTCCTCACTGGAACAAAAGAACGACTAAAGCAACTCAAGACAGAGATATCAGCAACCAAGGCACACTTGAGGTGAAACAGGGATTTCACAGAAAGGATTGGCCTTTCTTGCATGTTGCACCACACTTGGCTCTTCTTTCTATCCATGGTAATTATCCACAATTATGATTTTGATTTGACTATTTTATATTTCTTTTTGAATCAAGGTTTTCATATAAGACGCAGTCGATTTTGTAATCTTTTTGTCTGCTTTTGTGTTGCATGAAAGGATATTTTGCATCCCCCATTAATTTTTACTCATTCTTACAAAATGCAATATGTTGGCATGGAAACTTAATGCAATGCCCCTAGCCTTTGCATCTCAATCAACTATGGCTGTCGACAGGGAGAAATGGAAGAAGAAGCAGACGATGACGAAGACCACGATCCGACTGCAGTCGGACCTGGAGAAGCTCGAAGGAGAGAAGAAGGAAGCGGCGAGGAAGAAATTCGGTTCTCCGGACGTGGATTCGGACGCGACGGAGCTGCTCCTCCTTTCCCGACCCCTCAGGGAATCCCAGGGGTCTCTCGATGCCCTCAAGGAAGACCTGGATGCCCAGCAGAAACATTTAGCTGTAAGGAGCAAACCGAATCTCACTTCAGATGCACTTCAGATTCAAGACTCATTCCAATGTGATCTCACAGAGGGAGGTGGACAGGCTGGAGAGGGAGCTGCTCCGGGTGACGAACGAGAACACGCAGCGCAAACGGACCATGGAGCTCATGCAGAGGCGGAGAGACTCCATCGAAGCGCTTCTCGTCGTCCATCGAAAGGCTCTGGTCTGTACGAGCGGTCGAACGGACGAACCGCGTGGCATTTTCCCCCCGGAACGTAACAGAACTCGTTTCGTCACAATCAGGCACACGAGAGTAAGCATCCGTGGGACGTGGAGGAGAAAATCCTGGAGCTGCAGGCCCTGATGACGACGATCGAAGAGCAAGAATCCGTATTGGAAGGGCTGAGACTTGACGTCCTCAGTTTGAAGAGCAAGGCCAGCATTCCTCCGCCTCCTGCCACCTTGTTCAGTGACTGAAATCCTGTTTTCTTTGTTTTTATCATCCAACATTTTGAACAGTAATGGGTATCGTGAACATCATGCACAAATCATTGTAGAATATAGGAGTTCCTTTGTCAGGAATGGTATTTGTCTTTTTAAAATCATTCAAAATGAAGATTTGAATGCATCATTACTGTTGAGTAGACTCTTAAGAAGGTCTCTTTTATGGAAAGGAATGAAACCCTTCATAAAGTCAGCCGGTCTTTTGGGCATTTGCATGATTCATGTTTGCAGCAACGTCATATGCACCATGAATTGTGGCATCACCATGGTTCACTAATGAGGATAAGATTTTGTATTTGCTCTAAAAACATTTCCTTATTGTCCTGGTGCCATGCTTGTGGTGTCTACTGTATCAGCCTCCCCTGCACCATCCTGTCACCATGGGTCCATAAGAATTTGTATCATGTGAATCAGCTGGTGTCATTGATGGGGTTTGTGTTTCACGACCAAAAGAGTTAATCGCTTCCAAAGGCAACAAGGGACAAAAGAGCTGACTTCATCCTGGATTCTATGTGGTCCAACAGCTTCCCATGTGCAATTTAACAAATTCACGTAGACCTCAGCCTTGCACCATCGAGTCGTGAACCTGAAGCAGTATTCCATTCCGAATTTGAAAAGCCTGCTTGGGGACTGAACTTAGTCAAATTTATGCTTTCTGGAATTTCTTTTTCTTTCTTGCTCCTTTGTATTTGTTGCTATTTGTTGCTTTCCCATTCCCTGGCCAGTAGAGCTTGAGAATGCTTGAGAATCCCTATTCCTGGGATGTCCTGGCTGCCGCAATTGGTATTGTCTACCTTCAAGTGTAGTACTCTTTGAAAAGTATCACATATCAATATTGCCTGCCATTTTTTGTTGAAAATGTCCATTAGTTCCCCTCCAACTGGTTTTAGAATGCAATCGGCTAGGAAGCTGTCAGAAACTTCGAACGGTTTTCTAGTATGTAATGTATTTGACTCCTTATAAGTAAAAGAACTATGCATATAATCGGCACGAGCGATGTGAGGCATCGTCGAGAAAGGTGGCCGAGGGGCGAAAGAGACTAATTTTGTCGTTCGGGTGACACGCTTCTGGAAACTGTCCTCTCGAGGACGTGGTGCTTACCCATTCGATTGCATCATTTCCCGAAGACATGCGGCATCGCAATAACGGTACAGGGTACACGGAAAGGGTCTCACGATGCAGCCCGTTCCTAGTTTAGGATCCCAGCTTCCTCTATTTAACGACAGATCCTGCCCGACGGCCCTTTCGCGACGATGCCTCCCACACCCGACGTCGTCATCGCGACGTGACCTCACGCCAACTGCCGGCAGAGTCCCGGCGAGATGGCCCCTCAGTACGCCCTTCTGGTGGTCGACGTACAGCACCGCTTCCGAGGGATGGCGGAAGCGATGGGGATCATCCCGCGCGTGGCGCAACTAGTCAGGGTCTGCCACGAGAAGGGCGTGCCCGTCGCCTTCATCCAGCATCACGACGTGCCGGGCTCGAGCTCCAAACTCCTCGACTGGTGGAAAGCGCCCATCATCAAAGGTCCATTTCCTTTTTTTCCCCCCTCCTTTTTTTTTTCCTTTTTGTTTTCTTTCGTTTTTCGAAACATGTCGAATCTGCAAAAAAAAAAAAATCCGGCGATGAAATGACATTTGGCACGCAGGGAGCGAGGACTGGGAGCTGCTCCCGGAAATGAAGGAAGTACTGGACCCGGAAAAAGACATCCGGATCCAGGAGAAAACCAAGTACGACTCGTTCTACGAGACGAAGCTGGAGGAGGAACTACGCTCGCTCGGCGTGAACGCCGTCGTGGTGGTCGGGGCCATGACCAACCTCTGCTGCGAGACCACGGCCCGGTCCGCCTTCTGCAGGGACTTCGATGTCGTGTTCCTCGAAGACGGTAATGCGACGATGGATGCGAAGTACCACGAGGCGACCTTGCTCAATCTGGGCGTGGGGTTTGCGAAGGTCATGACAGCGGCTGAATGCGAGAACATCCTCTAAGAACAATGATTTTTTTTTGCTGCCTTTGCTTCTTTTGCTATTTACTTTTTTTGTTCCCTTTCCTTTTTTTCCAACATATTTTCCAACATACTTCCCCCTTCTCCCCTTTTAAGATTTTTATTCCTTTCTTTTTTTGTTGTTATGGATTCAGCCTCGCGCTTGCTTCAGCTCTGCTGTACACGTTGTCGTTGGTGAGGAATGGAAAACCTGTTGATGCAAGAACGTGTCATTTCTGCTTCCACATTTTTTGTTCCTCGAAGGAGCAGCTGATTTTGCCCCCAAAAGCAGGTATTATTTATATTCCAATATTTGCAAAGTGTCGCTTACAAACGGTGTAGCCGTTCCGTCTGCATGGACGATGGATGACAACCGAAAATTGAGTGACTTAATGTTGACATGGGACGAAAAACCAACTTCGTCGTCGATACGATGTGGTCCAATTCGGTTCTGAAGTTTCTTTTTCTCTCATCCTCCCTTGTATTAGTTACCTTCGCAAACCCAGCCCGGTAGAGCTCGAGAATGCTTGGGAATCCTTATTCATGGGATGTCCTGGCTGCCCCAATCGATGAGATTTTGCAAATGATATCATCACTGGATTCTTCGTGATGTTTTTTGAAAAGTGCATAATGGTTTTTTCTCTACATTCAAGTGGAGCACTCTTGGAAAGGTCTCCTGTGTTTATTAATACATGCCATGTTTTTCTGCGATAATGTCATAACCACACAGCCAACGTACATCCTGAAGATATCCCTTGGGACGAGTGAGAAGTCCCAGAGATAATTAGTAGGGCCATGAAAATAAGTCCAGTCACTAAAATGTTCCAGGGATGTCCCTTTCTTCCAGGGCAGGCATATCCCAGAGATGTCCCAGGGAAATCCCCTTTGGGAGAAGTGATAAGTCCCGGGCAGTACCTCTTGGGAACATCTGAGGGTTATCAATATATTGGGGGCGTCTTCCTTCCTTCAACGGACGCATTTTCTTCCATTCCTAAGGTACCCTTTACTTACTCAAATTTTTCCACTCGATCACCCAGGACTCCCCAATCTTAATTTCTTTATTGATCTGAGAGTAATGGTAGATAGGGACTGAAATTATGGAAGACTGCAATTTGAGACGCATCTTCATATGGTAGAATTAGTTCCGTTTCAATCCCGAGATAAGGAGGTTTTCTTATAAGAGGCATCGAGTCCGGTGTCAAACCAAGATAGTGATAACTAGACGTGCCGATCCCACGTCATTAACGATTTGATGACGGATGAATCAAAATTCGTACCCCAATTTCTTTTTCACTTACCTTAATGGAAGTTTTCCGGATGTTCAGTGCGAAAATCATTACTTTCTCCTCTGTACAATTCGTATAGATACAATTTAAGGAGAAGCTCTTGGGTTAATCGGGGCACGTGAGAGACATCTACCGTGAAAGTTATGCTCCTGATTGAAGGTGTCGTAAAAAGAGCCCTTGCTGGATGTCCGGAAGCACTCAACCGTAGATGTCTAAAAGGCGTCTCTAAGATGTCATGAGGGTACCCTTTGAAGATTTTGGGGAAAGTCGTCCAGTTTGGGACATCCCTGGGACTTCCTTGGGATATCGCAGTGCTGTGTGCAAGTAGCGTGCCCAGACAATCCCAATTCAGGGGAGAGGGGGCGTGGACATATGGAAAATTGGTCACCCACCCTCCGCATATGGCCAAATTTAAAAAAATTTTTTTGAGAATCGAACCTGTAAAATGTATCCAAGAAGAGGGGAGGGTATAACCCCCAAAACATTTCTCCCCCCCCCCCTCCCTTTGGGCACGCCACTGACTGTGGGAAGTTCCTCTCCAACCGGTTTTAGAATGCTATCGGTGAGGAAACTGTAAGATAGCATTAAATTGTTATCTAGTTTTTAATGCTCTCGACGTCATACCTAAATGAGATTTATGAGTATCATTTGCACGAGCAGTTTGTGAGGCATCACCGAGAAAGGTGGCTCTGGGGGCAAAAAATAAATTTTGTCGTTTCCGGTAACAGGCTTCCAGAAATGTCTCATCTCTCGAACATGGTGCTTTTCCCTTAAATTATTTTTTCCTATACACTTGCCTCATCGCATTACAGTTCCGGGAACACGGGAGGAGACACCCAATTCCTAGATAACTGGGTCGGCTACGAAATGCTTACCTGCCCGACAGCCCCTTCGACGCGATGCCTCCCACACCCATTGCCGTTGGCACGATATAACCTCACACCGACCACCAGCAGAGTCATAGTGAAATGGCGCGGAAGTACGCCCTACTGGTGGTCGACATGCAGGAACGCCTCCGAGGAATGATGGAGGCGATGGGGATCATCCCGCGCGTGGTGAAGCTGGTGAAGCACTGCCACGAGATGGGCGTGCCCGTCGTCTTCATTCAGCACCACGACGTGAGCGGATTGGGGTCGAATGACCCCATCGTCAAAGGTATTTTCTCCCCTTTTTACTCCCAGGGATGAACGGTGCGAACCGAATTTCGACAAAAAAGCCAACCTTGAAATGGCATACGGGACGCAGGGACCGAGGACTGGGAGCTGCTCCCGGAAATGCAGGAAGTACTGGATCCGGAAAAAGACATCCGGGTCCAGGATAAAACCAAACGCGACGCATTCTTCAAGACGAAGTTGGAGGAGGAACTACGCTCGCGCGGCGTGAACGCCGTCGTGGTGGTCGGGGCCATGACCAACCTCTGCTGCGAGACCACGGCCCGGTCCGCCTTCTGCAGGGACTTCGATGTCGTGTTCCTCGAAGACGGTAATGCGACGATGGATGCGAAGTACCACGAGGCGACCTTGCTCAATCTGGGTGTGGGGTTTGCGAAGATCATGACGGCGGCTGAGTGCGAGAACATCTTCCAATAGCCCTGATTTACCCCCTTTTTTGTATTCCTTTGGATTCGGCCTTGCAGAAGCTTCCGCTCTGCTGTGCACGTTGACGTTGATGAGGAATAGAGAACGGATTGAAGCGACAGCATCACTGGATGACATTTTTTGTTTCGGCAGTTTTTTCTTTTAGCGAAAAAACTCTAATTTTGCTCCAAAACCGGATACTATTAAGCATTATTTAGCACATTTATATTACAAAATTTACAATTATATGTTGCTTGTAAAGGCGTTTCAGACATGCCATCTACACGAACGATGAAGGGCAGCATAAGATCGAGTGACTCGAGGTTGTGTGACCCTAAAATCAACTGGTGAATAACTGGTAACAAGATACGAATAGACAAGGTCTTCAGCTTGCCACCGCGAAGTCATGAAATAAAGTGGTAATCACTTCCAAAAGCTCACTTGGAGACTATTTATTCATATTCATCACTTCTGGAATTTCTCTCGTCCTCCTTATTATATGTTGACTTCCCATTCCGCGGCCAGTAGAGCTTGAGAATGCTTGGGAATCCCCTTTCGTGGGATGTCCTGGCTGCCCCAATCGATTATGTTTGCAAATGTCTCCATCTCTGGATTTTTCCTGATGCTTTTTGAAAAGTGCATAACGGTTCGTTCTCTACGTTCAAATGGTGCACTATTGGAAAGGTCTCGTGTGTACATGCCATGTTTTTCTGTGAACATTTCGTTGCCCACACAGCCAACGTACATCCTGAAGATATCCCTTGGGACACGTGAGAAGTCGCAGAGATAATTAGTAGGGCCATGAAAATAAGTCGGGGCATTAAGACATTCCAGGGAAAGCATATCCCAGAGATGTCCCAGGGAAATCCCCTTGGGACAAAAGATGATTCCCGTGTTATACGTCTTGGGTAGATCTGAGGGTTATCAATATATATGGGGGCGTCTTCATTCCTGTAACGGACACATTTTCTTCCATGCCTGATGTAACCTTTACTAAATCAAATGTTTCCACTTGATCACTTAGGACTCCCCAATTTTTATTTCTTGACTGATTGAAGACTAATGGTTAAAGGGGAGAGAAGTCATGGAATACTCTTTTATTGGAGACGCATCTCCAAGGTTGTTAGCTCTTTTGTATGGGAAGTTCCGTTTCGATCCCGAAATATCAACGTCTTTCCATGCAACTCGTGTAGATAAAATTCATGGAAAAGCTCTGAGGTCGGTGATCGGGACTCGTGGGATACGTCTTCTGAGAAATTTTTGCTCTTGACGGATGTTGAATGACGCGACTGAAATTGTCTTTAATGCATCCCTTGCGGGATGTCCAGAACCATTCAACTTATAATAATAACAATGAAAGACGTCTCTAAGATGTGCTCAGGATATGCTAATGATATTTATGGGATGGGATATGACAGTGCTGTGTGGGAAGTTCCTCTCCAGCCGGTTGTAGAATACGATCGGCTGGGGAGCTGTGAGAAACTTTAAATTGTTATCGAGTTGCTAATGCTTTCGACGTCGTATCTAAATTAGATTTAGGAGTATCATTGGCACGAACGGTATGTGAGGCATCACCGAAAAAGGTGGCTGGAGGGCAAAAATATATATTTGCCGTTGTGGTAACATGCATCCCGAAAGTTTATCCTCTCGAAAACGCGGTGCTTCTCCCTTGAAACATTTTTTTCCGAGACACATGCCTCATCGCATCACGGCACCGAGTACATGGGAAGAGACCGTCGATGCACCCAATTCCTTGTTAATTGGTTCGGCTAGGAAATGCTTACCTGCCCGACAGCCCCTTCGACGTGATGCGTCCCTCACCCTTTGCCGTTGGCACGATATGACCTCACACCTACCACTGGCAGTCATAGTGAAATGGCGCGGAAGTACGCCCTGCTGGTGATCGACATGCAGCACCGCTTTCGAGGCATGGCGGAATCGATGGGGATCATCCCGCGTGTGGTGAAGCTGGTGAAGCACTGCCACGAGATGGGCGTGCCCGTCGTCTTCACCCAGCACCACGATGTGAGGGGATCCGGGTCGAAGGTCCTCGAGTGGTGGAATGACCCCATCATCAAAGGTATTTTCGCCCTTTTTTGCTCCTGCGGATAATCGCAGCGAAGCGAAATTTAAAAAAGAAAATCCGATGCTGAAATTGCATATGGAACGCAGGGAGCGAGGACTGGGAGCTGCTCCCGGAAATGAAGGAAGTACTGGACCCGGAAAAGGACATCCGGATCCAGGAGAAAACCAAGTACGACTCGTTCTTCAAGACGGAGCTGGAGGAGGAACTACGCTCGCTCGGCGTGAACGCCGTCGTGGTGGTCGGGGCCATGACCAACCTCTGCTGCGAGACCACGGCCCGGTCCGCCTTCTGCAGGGACTTCGATGTCGTGTTCCTCGAAGACGGTAATGCGACGATGGATGCGAAGTACCACGAGGCGACCTTGCTCAATCTGGGTGTGGGGTTTGCGAAGATCATGACTGCGGCTGAGTGCGAGAACATCTTCCAATAACACTTTTTTGTTTGCCTTTTTGCTTCTTTTTTCCTTTTTCATTTTTGCCTTCCCCCTTTTTTTTGCTTCTTTTCTTTTTTTTTCTTTTCAACCCCCTTCTTTCTCCTTTTTTTTTCATTCCCATGGATTCCTCCTTGCAGAAGCTTCCGCTCTGCTGTGTACGTTGACGCTGATGAGGAATAGAAAACCGATTGATGAAAGAACTTCCCTGGATGTCATTTCTGTTTCCTTAGTTTTTTCTTTTTAGAAAAGAAAAAGCTATTTTTACGCCAAAAGCTGGATATTATTAATCATTATTTATCATTTTTTATTACTATATTTACCATAATGTATCGCTTTACAAACGCGTTTCAGGCATGCCATCTACACGAACTTGAAGTTCTGCAACCCTAAAATCATCGAGTGACCAACCGGTAACAAGGAAAATCCGAATCGGCGAAGACTTCAGCTTGCCACAGCCAAGTCATGAAAACGAAGCTGTATTCACTTGTGACTTCGGAAATCCTTGGGATTTGGTCCCTTTTTTTTTTTTTTTTTTACTCCTGAAATTTCGATCGCTTTCATCCTTCGGATTTAGCCAACCGGGTAGAGCTCATTTCTGGGATTGGCCGTCCCAATCGGTGAAACTCGGAAATTATTCCTCCGCTGGATTCCTCATGGAGCCTTTTGGAAACGGGAGGAACGGACGTTCTCGTTGTAGCACTCTTCGCATGCCGTGTTTTTCTGTAAAAAAAAAAAATAATAAAATAAAATCGGGAGTTGCTATCCAAGCTTTTTCAGTTTTGCTCTCGTCTAGGAAACTAAGGAGAACTTGGAATCTAGTTTCTAATATTTTTCACTTCGCACGAGATCGATGAATATAAACGGCAAAAATGGCAAATGCCGTTTCGCTTCTGGAAACTTCCGGAAACTTTCTTTCTCGAATTTTTTTCGGATGAAAATTTGGAAATCGCTTCTTCGCGGGATTATCTTGGGATCCTTTCGAAGCACGCAATTTTCATCGGCATCGCGGGGAATCCATCGAAGGAGTCGCTAGCGAATTTCAGTATTGAGGGCATTCCAGAACATTCCCGAGCATTCCCGAGCATTCCCAAGCATTCCCGAGCCTCTACCGGGCCTGGCTCGCGACGGGATGAAGCACAACTTAAATTTAATCTTGGAAATTCTTTCTCTTTAAGCCTGAGAATTTCCTGTCGCAAAGGAGACTTTCCGAAATAGCAATACGTTTCCGCATAACTTTCGCCATTAGAATCTAGATATCCATTCAAAGTTTTACTCACCTTTCCAGCTGATTACGTTCTAAACTCAGTCGAATAGGAACTTGTTCCAGGGATGTCCCAGGGACGTCCCAGGGATGTCCCAGGGACGTCCTGAAGACGGTTTCCAGCATCTGGAATGGAATGCCTTCAGGAAATTTTCGAGACGCCTTTCGAGCATCTACGAAGGAATTCTCTTCGATATGATGCAAGGGAAATCTGGAGTCGTGTTTGTCGCCTTCAGTCGAGTGCGTGACTTTCACGGTAGATGTCTCCCTCGTGCCCTGAGCTCCAGCCACAGGCCTTTTCGATCGATTTATTATGGAGACACAGTAATGATTTTCGTACCGTAAATTAAGAAAACTGCCGCTAAGTTAAGTGAAAACTTCGAGGTAGAAAATTTTTGCTTAATCCCGTTACATTCACCTTAATGATGTCGGATCGGCATTTCTGGATCCTTCAGACGGAGCGAATTCCCATGTTTAAAAATTATTATTTTATTTCGATGGGAAATTCTTTTTGGAGTCTTCAGTGATTTTCCGATCGGCCGAGAGTTAAAAATGCGGGAGACTTGGAGCTCCAAGTAAGATCGGTCGAGTAAGAAAAGGCTAGTCGTCTACGGCAGATGTGAGGGGGAAGGAAGACGGCCAGATGCATTAATGACCTTGAGATGTCTCCTCGATCGTCCCGGGGATTAAGTCGCTCGAACGGCTGCACCGAGTCGGTAAGCAACGCGTGACCGTAAATGTTGTAATATAAATAATATCCCCTCTTGGGGGCGGAATGAGCCGCTCCTTGAAAAAGAAAAATGCGGAGACAAATGAGACGAGGCGATGTTCTTGCATCAGTCGGTTTTCTATTCCTCATCGACGTCAACGTGCACAGCGGAGCGGAAGATTCTGCAAGGCCGAGTACATACGAATAATAAAATGAAGAGGGGGTTGAAAACAAAAAAAAAAGTCTAAAAAGGAAGGAGGGAGGGGGGGGGGAAACAAAAATGAAAAAGAAAAAAACAGAAAAAGGCAAATAAAAGTGAGTGCTTTTGGAAGATGTACTCCCACTCAGCCGCAGTCATGATCTTCGCAAACCCCACACCCAGATTGAGCAAGGTCGCCTCGTGGTACTTCGCATCCATCGTCGCATTACCGTCTTCGAGGAACACGACATCGAAGTCCCTGCAGAAGGCGGACCGGGCCGTGGTCTCGCAGCAGAGGTTGGTCA